TTTGTAGTTTAGAGAGAAACTTTCTAAAATGTAGTTGCTTATGTCAGAGCAAAGTGGTATACGGGGGAGTTTTTACAACCTACCATTTGAATATACAAGTGTTGCCATATCCACACACAAAGGTCATACATGCTCAGTCTAGAAGCAAAAATAGTTCAAACTAGACAGTTTTTAGTATGGTAGAGAAAGCTGCTTTGTAATCAGGAGATCCTTGAGCTCGCCTAGTTAAAGGGAATAGCAAATACTTTCATTGTTAGTCCTTGCAGATTCTGCAATGGATCTCAGAGCTGGTATTTAATGAAAAAACGCAGTAATCCATTCAGAGTAGAAATGATGGAAACTGACTGGGAAAGTACTCTTACACCTCGGCTAGAATAAACTAGTCTATCTCCAGGAACTCATGAGATGGTCTTAAATATTTCTTATTGGCTCATTTTTCCTTGCGGATCATTTTGTAATAACGAAGCTTATCCTCTGCTGATCTATATTATATGTATGTTAACCATTTATACTCAGCAAATGACAGCACAATCAAATCCTTTTCTTTTACTTTCTTTTAATCTGTCACCTCTTGCAGTAATTAAAAGCGAAAGAGTGACCCTGTGCTTTCCCATATGTGGAACCAGTGCCGATGTCAAGAGATGTATTGGTGTGATGTCTGAAAGTCAGCATGCAAATCTGGTAACACCCCAGCTGATGCTGTTAAAGAGCCTCGATTATATTTTATAGCCTCTCTGCAAATTGCTGGGGAGAGCAGCTGTCGCTGCTGACCAGGTAGAAGGAGAAAAAAAACCTTATGCTTTCATGTTTTAAAGCATAAATTCTGCTCCCGCTGAGGAGGGTAAAGAAGTTTATCCCACAGCACGAGCAGGTCTGCTTCGGTCTCAGTTTAACATCAGGTGTACGGCCGAGTGTGATCCTCACCCTGCTTCCACAGACAGATGAGTTTTGTAATCCCAAACACCCCTTTCTCTGCCTGATTACTGTGACCAGAGTATGAGCACAGCATGTGACCAGTGCTGATGGCACTTTTGTCTGTTAGAATGAAACGTAGTCCATGCATTTCCGTTGGCTGAGTCCATCTTTTCTCCTTGTCATTCAATTTCCCTTTTTTCCTAAACAGTCACAGAGATTTCCGATCTGTACCCCAGCACGACTGTGATGCACATTTTCAGCCCTGTGCCGCTCTTAGAGGCATGAGCTCTCTGCTCCGGTAACTTGAGCAGAGGATGGAAAAAATGGAGCTACTTCCAGACAAACTGGCTCAGGACTCGAAGCCGTGAAAGCCTCCCAGTCCACAGCCCAGTCTTAGCTAATTTGCTCTAGTATCTAAGCACACAACAGCATGCACTCACAAGCCTCATGGCACGCTCTTGGCATTTGGCGTTCTTTTGATTGCTTTCCAGTGCATGTGTATAGGCTGTTGTGTACTCGTAATCCCCCCAGTTTTAGAAGCTATCCAGTGGTAGGAGGAATATATGTAATCCCATTGTCTCTGCTGGTGGTTGTAGGAGTGCATATTTCAAACAAAATTACTTATGGCCATTGGGGTTTTCTAGTGATAAAGCCTAGCAGTAGAATGGCAGAGTGGGTGTTTTCCTTTTCTTCTTGCTTGGATGATATTTTTATACAATTTTATATGCAATTTTTTTAAATATTTGCTATTTTTATTGTAGGGTTCTGGTTGGGGTTTTACCAGAACTTCTGGTTGTCTACAGGCCCAGATTCTCACAGGAATATTTTCCTTCCCTTTCCTCCCTCTTCTTCCCCTATAGGCAAAAGCCATTGCGTTTGCAGCATCAGCTTACAGCAAAATAACACCTAGGGCCTGATCACTCTTTTAGTTGCACTGAAATCGAAGGAAGTTGCATGCAAGGTCCTGCTAGTCCCACTGCGGCATCTGGGGCCAAAGGCTACATAGCTGAAATACGTGCATCTTGTTAAATGCAGGGCAGTTCTGTGTAAAGCCAATGTATCAGGGTAGTGCTGTCTTCCTTTGCTGTGGTAGGAGTTGCTTCCACTACAATATATTTAAATAGGAAAATCTCTCTCTGTTACTATAATGCTACTTTTTGCAGCCACTTTAATGAGTAGACACTTTAAGGCGCACTGGCTACCTTCAGCAGGGAGAAAGGGTGAGCATTATGGCTTATCTGTGACAGTAGATTTCACTGCTCTTTGCTTAAAAATATAGTGACAGGTCCTAATGAAGCTAAGGAATGTTAAACCTATTCGTAAGGGGGGATAAGGGGAAATTAACCAAATTCAAGGATCTTGGTCTTGTAAAATAATGTTTTCTCAGCTGGCATTCTGCAGGGAATTCTGTGTATGAAGTTAAGATAAACTGTAGAGTATGTTTTTATTAGCAGAATTGATAATGGAGATTCTTGAACTCCATTCAAGAGTCCATTTAGTTCAGTTGAACTGAAGCAAACAATGTACACCTGTCCTCTAACATTTTTCAAGGAAGCAAGAGGAAGGTTATTACGCTATTTTGCACCAGGGGATAGAAGACAAATCAAAATCCGTTTTGAAAGCAAAATTCAATGCAAGTTTGCTCTTGGGACTGGGTGGGTAGGCTAACCAAAAAACCTATTTGGTTTGTAAAGACTCAATAAGGAGAAAAAAAAATGCAAAGCTGATATGAATCATGCCATGTAATGCCAAGTATTCTCAACTGTTCTGAGAATAATTTTAAACAATATGTATTTATTGTTAGTTCCTTATTTGAAAGAAGAGGCTTGTGGTCTCTAAATGTATAAAACATTTTTCAACATTCCAGTTTTTCTGTAACTGAGTCCATGTATGTTCATCCTATTACCAAATAAAAACAATGAAGTCTGCTCCATTTGCATTTAAGTGGTAGAAAGATTGATTTTGTTCTGGTGCTATCTACATCCAGTCCAGGCATGGGACTTGCCATTTGTTTTCCGGTATCCAGCTCTAGAGTACTAGCAGAGTACTAGTCAATAATCAACTATTTTTTAGCATAATGGGATCGTTGCTTGGACAGCATCCATTGCTCAGCACAAACCTCTATGAGGAGGATGAGTTAGTGGTATTATCTCATTTCTAAAGACAGGACAATTGTGGTAGAGGGTGGAAATAGTTTGTTTAAGGAATCTGAGGTAAATGTCCAACTTTTTGGAGATTAGACTTGTTAACCTCACGAGTCCCCTTTTCTCCAGATGACAATGTCCTTTGGTTTTCGTTAATCCCAATTTCAGCCTGCCCTCTTGCACTGACCGTGTCTGTTTGTGAATATATGACATGTGCCTGAAATCAGAGATGCTGTGGGTGTGCTCATTCTCACTACAATTGTGAGACTGTTGAATCTGGTTTCAAAATGAAATGTTGCTGTATATTCTGAAACCAAATAGCTTCTGAGGGGAGGTTACATTCTGATTTCAACTTCCTAACCTTCATGTCTGACTTAAAAACGATAGATTTTTTGTTTCAAATCCCAAGCATATTTATTGAGTGACAGCAAACAGTGTTGCTGTCTTTGGTTAAATGTGTGTTTTATGGTTTAAATAGGGGGAAAATGCTGTCTCCAAGAATACACATAATTGCCTTGTGAAGGTAATCACAGAGGATGATGATGATCCCACATTTACAGTGGCAGAGCCTGTCAAAGCATTGCATTGACTCTGTCTGTGTTCGAACGTGAAGATATCCCCAGTCTCTGGGTCTCTTCTAGGAAGACTGAAGTCACAGCCCATAAGGGCATCTAAACCAACAACAGAGGACTCATGCCCACTGAAACACTTGCTCACATCACTTTTTTCTGTGTCACTTGGAGCATGAGTATCGATCCCACAGGGCTGGTGCCCTGTGCTCCGGTACTACATCTCTACATACCATCTTCTACAAAGTAAATTATTCCACAGGTAGACTTTGGAGGTATTTACAAAGCACTACACAAATAATGAATAGAATTTTCCCATACTGTTGCTGTTTTTCCAGTCTTTTGCTCTAAAAAAGCCCAACTTATTGGATCCTTTCCTGAGAAAAGAAGAATTCATGATAAACAGTGGCAGAGACTGAGTTCTCTAAGGAGGATATAAAGTTCAGACGTTCAATATAAGCACGAAAGGCTCCATGTATTCCCTTTTGTCTGAAATTCCAGTTTTATCTGGTTCCTTTGCTCTGTCTGAGAGGTTCGCTGGTATTGATTTCCTGAAGAACGTGCAATGTGCTTGTCTCTGTAGCTGCTTATGTTCTGATAACTTGCTGGCTTGGTGTGATTCTTAATTTACCTCCAGTCCTGAAAGTAGAGATGAACCCAAGCCACTAATTTTTGATAAATGTTGAGGGCATTGATGTAGTCAACTGTGATCTTCAGATCTAAAATGCAGATTGTCTCACATGAGTGTTAAGGGAGAAAATATAACTTGGAAAAGGCAACTAATGATTTGGGCAACTCATGTCCACTTGCAAATACAGTATCAGAGTCACTCCTCTGGAGTATCTATCCAGTGACATAAATGTCCGGAACTATTATCAACTGGTGGCTCCCAAAGTGATGCCGGCCACTCACTGAAACACCACAAAGCCAAGGTAAGTGGCATGTAACTGTCTTCAGTACCACATTAGAGAGTACAATTGACATTGTCAGTCCTGTGAGGACGTGGAGGAAGCTGAAAAGAAAGTTGTCTGAGAGTTTTCAATGGTTTGTAGGTCTGAAACTTTAGAAAACATCTATTACTTAAGAATATGAAACTTGCAGTGTTGGTAACTGTTGTATCTCCACCCAAACACATTAAGTACTGAACAGAAGAAAGACACGTTTAATGTTGTCTCCCCTAGATTAAAAGGTCATAAGAAGTAAGGATATTTGACCAGACTTACGAGGAAGTTAGCCTGACCTATAACTGCTGAAAAGAAATGGCAGAAGAAGACATGATCATGTAGTGGTGGTAGCACTAGGAAAAGCGTTTTCATGGCAGGTGGGATTACAGTTCACCCACCTCTACTGAAACTACTCTTTCTCTTTAAAGGTGCAAAGCAATGTCCATCTGACTCACCGGGCTCAGGTTCCTCGCCAAACCGTCTTACCTTGCCAGGTCAGTTGGTATCACCACACTGTAACTTGCTTATATGTACAGCTTTAGGAATAGGTAGCCATGGAGATTACAGTGTTTGGGAGACGAACAGAAACAGATGACTTTTTCTCCAGGAAAGGCATGACTTTTACACGGCACATTTAAAAAGTTAACACTATTTACTGGGAATCAACAAATGAACTGTTGTTTTTAATTTTCTTTACCACGTTTTTTTATTTGTTTTTAAACAAATACCTTATGTTTTGTTGGTTATACTGCATGCTCCACAGACTGATTTAATTTGCTCAGCAAATTTATTTGGGCCTTGGCCACATGGACATAGGTGCTGAAGGGAAAAAAAAAGCCTATTTTGTTGGCTCTTTGTGTGTCCTTCCCAGCCCTCGAAGCCTTCTATCTCTATTTCACCCATGATAACCACCTTTTTAATTCCTTTGTTTTTTGTCCCACACAACTATCAGGATAAAGGTAGGAGAAAATGGAGCAGTTTTACACAAAATAATGTCTCAATGTGAGCTAGTTGTCTCAGCATGGGTGTATACAAGGCCATTCATATACTTGTAGTCTGCAGTCAGTGAAAGAAAGGGTGAATCTACATGAAGACAAGAAATCACCAAGAAAAAAAAAAAAACTCAAGCAAAGTACTGAAAAAAGTTTTACTAGAGACATTTTCTTCAGCGGCTGCTGTTCCAGCAGACGAGGTGTGGTGTGGCTCCACATACAGACACCAATGTGCAATAGCAGGTTTCTGTGCTGTTTGAGTTCTCCAAGTTGTTCGTGGCACGATGCTGTTTCACAGCCGCTACCTCAGAGGATTGTTTTCCTAGGCGCAGCTCAGCCACCACTTGGATGTAACTGAGGAAAAGAATGGGCGGGAATGTGAGAGAGATTTGGAAATACTGTTTTTCCTTAATATAACAATATGCTACATGAAACACTCTGCTGCTCACGAACCAAAAATGGACAGGCATTGAAAGTAAAATTTAAACCTCTGGGCACTGTGCTCATGTGAGGACCTTTATCAGGTTACTAGCCTGACAGTTTTTAGATGGAAAGCGCAGTACAGTAAATATCATAAACACATTCTCGTAACCTCTGAAGTTTTTCATCATTGGCAGCGGTGATAAGTATTAGCTCTATATATCACTTATTTCTCATATGGTCTCAGCAGATGTTAAATTCTTACATTTACATTCATGAGGGGCTGCTACTTTGGAAATTTTCACATAGAATTTTCTTACAGGTTCCAACTAGAGGTCTTGCTCTTTGGAGATTTTTTTTTTTCTCCGGAGAGGAAAAAAATGTGTTTTATTTTAAAGAAAAAGTGTGGAATAAAACATTCATGATACTTCAGCCCTAATCGTCAGTTAATATTAACAGAACTAATTTCAAAACTAGCTTACTTTTGATGCACTGTTGGCATGATTACGCTGGATCCTCGATGATGTTTATGTTTAACAAGCGCAGTTTACACGTTGCTTTTTCATCAATTTTTCCAACATTATACCACTTTTAATGTACCAGTCCATTAATGAATACCTTCAAACAAGAAATCCGGTGTCCCTTCTTATGTGTATTACTTGTTTTTAGCCTGCAGACCATTAGAATATAAAGGTAGAGCGTATAATGCAGAAAAGAGGGATTTGCCATAACCTAACAGGCGTAGCTTGTTATTTATCACTGACTTGCTGGATGACCTTGCTCGAATCGCTCTTGTGTGCCTCAGTTTCCTCATCTGTTCTTTGGGAATAATAATGCTTATTCCATTTTAAATCCTTCAGACCTAGGGATCTGTTAACTGGTCTGATTAGAAAACCGTCAGTAGGAAGGATCCACCTTCAAGAGAGGAGAGCCATCAACCCAGTGATGTGCCTTCTTGCAACAGAAAACTTTTTGGAGTTCTGCTGATCCAGCCTTTGTGGATTTGTTGCTAGTTCAGGGTTACTTCCAGAAGCAATACTCGCTGTGACAGCCTCACACTGAATTTTACAAAGGTGCCTTCTGGCTGGCACTCATGGAAATGACTAGCTGTGTTTTGACTCTCTCTTTGTTAAAGATTTCCCTTCCCTCAGTGTATGTTTTGGCATTGATTGGTTGTGGGACTTGGTAGGTTTCCTCTGTTTGGCTGTTTAACAATGGTACCTTCCTACGTGTGCTCTGCTGCTGTTTGCTCTAGTACAGTGTGCAAATCAGCTCTTCCCATGCAAGCATTTAAAATATATGACGAGGAGGAGATAATACTGTAATATTTTCTATTTATATATCCCCAGTGATGCATTTTGTTTACAGTCATTATGATTTTGTTTTTTATGCGCTATATGATCACTTTTCGGTGGGGGGGAGGTGCTTTTGCTGGAGGCAGTCACTAATTAACGTTTAGTTAAGAACCAGCTTTCCATAAACACACACACACACACACACACACACAAAACATTTTCTATCTGAGAAAACGTCATTGTCTTGTTGTTCTTTCTGTGAATTGTGTGCAGTGCCTTGAAAAAAAATAGGAAGCTTTATTTTGTTGGCTTTAGTTTCTCTCCTGAAGAAGTGATGCTGATTGATAAGACCAGACAACAGATGTATGTGATCCTGACCCTCGCTTTACCAGCCAGTTGGTCATTCCTCCTCATCAATAACTTCTTAATCTGTGCCTTGTCAATTTAAAGTGCATTAGAGCAAGAAGAAGAAATCCCCAGGAGGTCATAAAGCTCGGGAATTTTTATGGGGATAAGCAGTGGTGTATAGAAGAGAGCCCTGGTATTTTCCCACACGGGGCTATATTGTCAGAGAAGCTTGACCATTATTAAAAATCAGGGAATCCACCCAGCAGTTCAGCCTCACGCTGCAGCGGACGCCTCTGCTGCTTCGTTGAAAGGCTCCTTTTTCTCAGTCCGTAAAGGATGAAGCAACTGTTACTCCAAGGAGCCTGCGCTTTAAGTAGCAAGAAAGCACAGTAAGTGCATCCATGGACCCAAAAATGTTACTTACAATCTGAGAGACTACATTTTTTCTTCTGTAGTTTATGAGCAGTTTGAAGAAGCGAAGAGTACCTACCCCTGCACTGAGTGCTCTGTGCAGCAGCAATATATATACTTTTTTCTAATTAGGTGCTTTCAAGTTAGGAATAGCCTCCGTTTATCAAAAGAACATGCCTTCTGTTCCTGTCTTATTAGAAGTCTGTCAGACCTGCAGGCAGTACTTCTACTCTTCTGTAATACACCCTGACTATTGAATAGGCATTTGAAGGTCAACGTTTTCTCCTTTCCTTTTATAGTTCACATCTTCTCCAGAACTGCCAATTTTATGCATAAAAGTACATATACATATATACGTATATATGCACATATACGCATCTTTGATAAAGCATAGGTGGGAAACTGAGAAGTAGGAATTTTTTATTTCATTTGAATCTTTGATGCATACATTTGGCTGCAGAGCTTCAGCAAACTGAATTCTTTGATGCATTACAGAGACCTCAGAGTATAAAGATATGAGTTGAAGACAGGGTTTATTCACTCGAACCTTTCAGAGAGGAAAAAAGTATGAAGTTGTCATTAAGGGTATTCATTTTCTTCAGTACTGAGGGAAAAAAGAAGTTCTGTTTTTTAGAAGTCACAGCTTTTCATACTTGCCTAGTAATAGGCACCTGAGAAGTGTTGCTGTCTGGTAGAAGCCTGGAGAAAAGTTGTATTTTTCCTACTTCCTCCGCAATTTGTGGTAAAAGCTCAGAGAAGAAGAAAAACCCCAAAGGGTTTCTTCCCTATATGCTTCTCTTTTGAGCACAGAGATAACTGTGCTAGGTAATGTCAGCAAATAAATGAGCTGATAGCACAGCTAATATTGCTGGTGGTACTCATCTACAGGGTTTGTGACAAACTATGGCACATCTTCATATTCCTGAAAGCTGGATCTAGTGCAGTGTGGTGGAGTGGGGACTCACAGCGTTGCTGTTAGCTAAATTAGTGAATTACTGTTACTGATTCTAAAAGCTTTTCATCCTTCCTGTAGCCCTTTTCCTAGGATTTTCTTTATCCTGCCTGCATAACAGTTGAAGGCAAAAGTTGCGCTAGCGCTGCAGGGGGCTGAGGGGAGATGGCAGAAGGTCTGTAATCACTGCCTCCCTGTAGGCTTTTCTGGATTCTCGATGGTTACAAACCGTAGCTGGTTCGGTGCGGGAACCCACTGCTGCCTTGCCCATGGCGTGCCAGGGTGCCTTAGCGCTTGCATGAGTGCCTGGAGAGGGGTAAGAAATACTGCTGTCTAGACTAAGCTGTGTCCTAGAAACTATTCCAACCCCAGTGCCTCTGCAAAGCCACCACGTCCCTCATAAAGAAAGGATGTCTGAGAGAGACAGTGGCGTTTCATTCTTCTCCCTAATCCAGACTCGCATTTTTTTTTTTTTTTTGTAGAGCTGAGCAAAACTGGCCTCCTCCAGTGCCAGTCGTGCCAAGGGAACCAGACATGTTTCATTGCTTCCTCTGTGCAAGGGGGCGAGCCATGACTGGGTCCTTTTGCAGCAGCAGCAGCAGAGCGCAGGATGGCCACCACCTCAGTGGGCAGACCTGAAAGCTGAGCATGAGTAAAAAACATGCTATCAATTCAGTGGCTGCAGTGATGACTTTATAGAAAATGCAATTTCAGTCCCTTTTTTAAAGGGACATGCCTTTTGAATGAATAGAAATGTTTATATCTGCTTTAAACTGTTTTAAAGTGAAAAGAAAAGGATATTGTTGTTTTGTCTTGTTTTGTTTTGTTTTCTGGTCAGAGTAGAATTACTATGTAATAAAAGGAATTTCATTTCAAAGACTTTTGTTGCTATAACAACTTCTAATAGTTTGAAATACTAAAATTGACTATATCCTGTTTTTATCAGTCAGCATTGCTAACAGTAATTTCCTTCTTATTGCAACCAGGCCAAAACTATTGCAAATTAGTACATTTCCAGGGAAGTCAGTGGAGCCAGACAAATTCCAGCTAAGAATTTGACTCTAGCATATAATAATTCTCATGGGTTGTTGTGATAAATCCGCTGGTTTCAAGCTCAAATGCAAAATAGCCATCAATACTTTTGTTAGCTCCAAGCAAACTCCTCAGCAAGTTATTTTCTCCTGTTGAAATTGTCCATGGGATTGAAGCTCCTGGCATTATCTGTACTTGTACTTCAAGAACTCCTCTGCAAAATAACTGAGTTTTGATAGGCTAGGTTGTTCACGTCACCCTAGTGGGTGCATGGCACATTTCCAGGTCAGTTTAAAAGGCAGAGCTTGTGGCAGTGTTTGGCACTCCTTTGGCTCCTCGATTCGTGGGTGAATGGTTTAAGCTGTGGCAAATCCAGCACATCTGTACGCCTGTTCTTCTGTCTTATGTGCCTCCACTTCTAAATGAGCCTCTACTCTTTGCTATGGCTGCATGTTGGAGTGTCCGTCACTGCTCATACACCAGAACAGCTTCTGCTGGAGTGGCTCAAGCTCCTAATCTACCTCTAGTTGTGCATAGTAGGTTGCTTTTGTGCTAAGCCTAGGGGGAGGAGAAGGATGGGGAAATGAACTGTTTTTCTTTCTTTCTTTATCACATATTTGTACAAGTAGTATTTTTCTCTAAAACTGGTTAGCTGGTGTGCTGTAAATGTATTTGCAGTTGTCCTCAAATCCTGCCCCAATTTGATTCAGAAGTTGTAGTTAAACCTAAGGTGAATCTGATCCAACGTATAGGGTTTTACCAAAAACTTAGGAGCAGATGACAAGTTGTACAGTCCCCTCCACTTGGCAGATCTCTTTGAAAACGTAGACATCAGTTAAAGATGGGTGTCCACCTCAGGAAGGGAACTTGGCGTAGGAGGGTATGAGGATGGCACCTAAACCGTGGTGGTGCAAACAGAACCCAAGGTCTAGCCTGGGTGAACTCTTCCTGACGATCTACATAGTGAATTCAACTCCTTTTTCATTTGCAGTTGTCTACTAAGCAGTAGCTCTGACATGCAGAAATGTCTCTTTCATTCGCGATGACTGCGTATCTTAAGCAGAGCAAAGCATAATGTTGTTGTAGAGCAGGTGTTTATACCAAGCAGCCAGAGGGAGTCCTGACCTCCGTCAAGAATCAAAAGAAGAATTGCATCAAAGAAGTGAAGAGAAGAAATAAGGGGTGGACATGGTCCTAGCCACATCTGATGTTTGCACAGCTGCTGCTCTGCAAGATGCTGGGATGCATGTCCTGCTGGCCAGTGCAAACAGAGCAGCTAACACACTCTTCACCTCCCTGCTAGATCGATGGTTTGAACTACCCTGAGATTGTCTCTCTGCATGATGCTTCCTGTGTAACTATCCCAATCTACAATGCACTGTTCAGATACCTTCACCATGCTTCCATTGCATGGTGTAGCCAAGATCTTGAAAATAATTCTGATTATTTTTCTTAAGTAAGAAAAATATAGGTCCATTTCTTAGCAGCATCAAGGTTAGAAACCAGTAATGCATCATTCCGTGCAGGTGAAGCTCCTGAAGACCCTGACTAACAATAACCAATTGAATCCCACAAGCATTCTCTGAGGTAAGTATTCTTATTATTATTCTCATTTTACAAATGGAGAAGCTAGGATGAGTGGTGCTGTCCAGGTCATACAACAAGTCAGTGAGAGACCTGGGAACAGAAGTTTGGAGTCCTAAAAGCTAGTCTTCTCCCCATCATAGTCTCCTATTTGGACTCAATAAAGCCTAAAGAAATTGAATGGTATGAATTCCTTTTATCAGCTTCTGTGTTTGGATGATAAATGGCACTGTCAATGTTCTGGATAAACCCCTTATACTTATTAGCCAACTCATCTCTGCTGGCAACAACTCCAGTAAAATTCCAGTTAACGATAAACATTCCCCCGTGCTGAGCAATGGAAAATCCAATAATAATTTGGCTGAATCCATGCTGAGTAAAGAAAATGGAATGAATCTGAAAAGTGAATGTGCCTCAATGAACAGTAACTCATCTCATCAATGGATACTTTTCAAGCTTTTAATCCTACTTTTCTGAATGCCAGTCTCCTCAAGAACAGGGTAGGGTATGACTATGTAGAACTATGGGTATGTATTTCTGTAGTCCATACTATTTTTTGTCCCCTGTTTCCTAAGATGTTTTAGAGTACACTTAATCACTCAAGGAGATTAACAAGATGAGACTGTAACTGTGTTCTAAAATTTGATGTTAACAGCCTCCTAAGGGAGAATCTTTTGGCTTATTATGCTGAGGGCAATGACTTTTCTTTAAAGTGCTTATCAGGCTAATAATTTACTTATTGTTTGGCTATTTTGCATATAATAACACAGAGCAAGACAAATACATTTTGGTCATAGTTATGTTTCATTTTTTATTTTATGTATGTAAAAATGTAGTAAAGTAAGACAAGACATAGATTCAAATAACCACAGTCTAAAAGCTGAGAACAGACAGATTCATACAGAGCCCATGTGTGACTTTCACAGTGGTCTGCAATTTACTGATAAGTCATACAAAAACCTCAGATCCAACTGTTTTTGAATTCTGGGGAAACTGTAATCTCAGTCCAAACTTACTACCTTAAGCTAATCTCTTGCTCAAAGCTAGTTTGAAAACAGCCAAGTGCTCAGCTAACTACATGAAGATAGGTTAATATAAAGTTGTTTCTTCATTTAGACTTTTTGCAACTTTCATCTTCTGTTTGAGCTTTCGTTTCTTAGCCTTGTGAATGTTCCTTTAGATTCACCTGTGTTGATATGATCTTCTGGGAGGCCCTAATAAGGGCATAATTTCAAGATTAAGCATTTTGAAGTGCCTGAATGCCTAGATTTCAGTATTGGAGACATCTATTTTTTGTTCTAGAGATGTATGTATTTTTTATAATATGTATTTGCACATTTTTTTCCCTGAAGCTTTTGCTAACACTTTGTAACAACCCGTTAATTCAAAAGAGTCCTAACTCGCAGGCTGAGAAACCCTCCTTTACACAGACAGGCTGTGCTGAGTGGGATGGACAGAGCTTCTGACGAATTCATTTCTTGTCCACCAGCGAGTGAATGGTAGACATGGTAACCATCGTTGTTCTTGCTTTATCACTGCCAGCCATCAAACCTCAGCTGTGTCACTTCAGGAGGCCCACCTACAGCTCAGGAACCTATTTCCCAGCCTCTCACAAGAAATCTGAGGAACATCCAATGAGGTATAAGCTGCTTGACCAAAGGGGAAGGATGAAAAAGATTCAGCATATTTCCCAGAACTGGAATAGGAAATAGTAGAGGAGATTAAGAGGCATCTTCTGGAATGATGCTTCTCACAGTCGGATGGAGGACATTGTGTAATCATTGCACAGGCCATACTGCATTGTGCAGCAGGTGTAATTCAAGATATAAGCAATTGTATGATTTAACCAGATAATATAATGGACACTTCTGCTAGAACTGTTTTCAGTAGTCTTATTACTGGAGCATATGTCTACTTAGCGCTGAAATATTGGTCTGCTGTTTAAAAAAAATAATTTCATACCACTATCTCACAGCAAATTAAGAAAGCCAATGTTTTCATAGATAGTTGAGCTCCTTATGGTGTTCTCAGCTAAACTTGTCCTCTGTAAGAAAGTTCTTGTTGCCCCGGATCTTACGCTGTGAGAAGCAGTGGCAAGTAACTCCCTATTTGCTTTCTGCAGGCCTCTGGTGATTTATATACCACCTCAGCTCTCCCTTTCCAAGCTGGTGAATCCTGTCCTATTACTCTTTCCTCCCAAGCAAACCTGCTCTACTTTTGATCTTCTTTGCTGCTTTTCTCTATATCTTTTCTTTCTTTCTTTTTCAAATCTGTTTTTGAAAGGAGAGGACCAGAACTGTGAAAAGTACTGAAGATGTGGGCATACTAGCAATTTATAAAGTAATGTTATAGCATTTTATGTTTTACCTTTCATGCCTTTCCAAATAATTTTTAAAGTTGTATTGTTCCTTGAGCGCTGAGTGGTAATTTCTGTAGAATTATCTGTAATGATTGTTAATTAATTTATAGCCTATCAACACATACAGGGTTAGGATTATCTCTCCTTATCCACATTTTTCTGCACTTACTTACCCACACTGAGCCAGTGATTTTGATGATTGAACTGAAATAAGCTTCCTTTTTTTCCCTCCTTTCTATCCTTTATTTTTGTGCCTGCTTGTTTTTAACTTGTCACCTGTACCTTTTCCAAATCACATCTTCTCCATAAGCATATTGAACAGAACAGAAGGTTATCCTCATTTACTGTGAATGGTGAGCATTTGATCCTGTTCTTTTTTTCCCGCCTATTATTAACCAGTTATTTATCCGTGTTAAAATCATGTGTTAAGATCTTCTCTCAATCCATGACAGGTTGGTAACTTTGACAGCCTTTGGAGCCAGACATTGGCAAAATCTTTTTGGAAAACTGCAAATGGTTTTATGCTCCTCCGAGGAACTCCTAAAAGATTTATGAGGCATGATTTATCCTGTAAAAAGTATTCTGACTCTTCTCTGTTATATTTAGCCTTCTATTTACTAGTTCTGTTCCTTTTATTTTCTACAAGTTCACTCACAGCAGATTTACCTATCTGTTATACACCACAGGTTTGTAACTACATCCAATGTCAAAACTGCTACAGTCAGTACATATAACATTGCTGTATGAAAATTATGTTAAAATCAAGGCTGGTTGTTGTATGAAACAGCTGGAGAATGTTACAGATGCCCCTTGCTCTGTTAGAAAAGACTGCTGCAAGTCTGTGTGCACTTGCCCTAAGGTCCGATAGCATTTTTCAGTGTTTTGCAAGAAATCTCCATAAAACAGGTGGATGCAGCATACAGCTGCCCAAGTGTTCTGACATGATGCTGTATCAGTTATTTTTGTCCAACTGTCTTACTAGGAGCTCGATGTTTGTAGCCTTGACGTCCTTGAACCCCATCAGCGCTTGGGACTCCAGCAACTGGGCTGCCCAGCTACCTACACTAAGTGCAAAGAGGAGGCACTTTAAAGCCTTCTATTTGTGAAATGTGATTTATCTCTAGGAGTTCCCAGAGAACTACATTTTGCCTGTAAAATACTCTGAAATGTTTACATGAATAGGCTGTATAGACAAGCCAAATTATACTATTCTTCCAAACACATTTTCTGTCTGTGTCATTTCCTTCTCTTTAGGACACCTTTGGTTAATACTTTACCTGCCGTAATCCTACCTGACTATTCTCTGGATGACTGGACAGCACTGAGCCACTTAAAAAAGGCAAAAGGAGCCAGAACTTCTTTTCTTCCTTTTTTTATTGCCAGCAGTTAAGTGGGGTTATTGCTTTTGTATCACAAACATCTGACACAAGGGTGACATTTGTTCAGGCTGCTTCATGTAAATGCTGGGCACTTCAGAAAAATAATTCCTAAGCAAAGCTGGTTGTGCTACTGGCATCCAGCTGAGCTACTTGATGGAGCAGACGGGATCATCGTCGCAATCCAATACTGACATCTAGCGTATATCGAGGGGAGATTTTCCAAGTAGGAAGTTCAAAAATGAAATCTGTGTTATTTGAGGGAGGTCTGGCTTTGCAAGGCACTCAAAGCTTTTGGCGTTACTGATTTCTGAGTTAACCACTTGCTTCCAGCATGGAAATAAGTCTGAGTAATCCATCCTTTTTGAAAAAAAGTCTGATGATCTAACACTCATTAAGCAGTTTAGATTTTTCATGAATTATATGTTGCAACTGTCAACACTTTTGCAAATTTAGCCTTTTTTTGTGTTTAGCCCAGTTGTGACTTAAGTCTTCACTCTAATCACTGGGTGGCTTTGCTGTGGTAAGGAAATTTGTTGCTCTGTTTTCCTGGAGGGAGTTGTTATTTCATTTTTTAAGTAAAGGATTGAAATCTGAATTAAAAATCAGAATGCTAAAATCTACATTGGTTGAGACATAGAGAGACCCTTTAGCGTTCATTCTTTATATTGAATCTATTTCTGTGGCTACATAAACATGGATTGGAAGGGAAGATTGGCTCCAAAATCCTCATGGACAATTACAGCAGCAACAAGCAGGTATGAGAAGAGGAAGGGGAGAAAGGAGGAAGGAAGAACAGTGGCTAGTGGGTTATAAATGAGTCTTTCATATTCTTTCAGTCATGAGGCAGACAGCTACGTTCATGGGGCAAAGTTTTTTCTGCATGGGCTGTATCCCCACCTCCTTTTCTCCTCCTTAGTCAGGTCTGTTGTTCAGTTCAGCTCCTCAGGTGTGTAGCGGCATTTGTCCTTCAGCTTGATCCTTCACTGTTTTTGTAGGTACTTCTCCCTTTATCCTGAACTCTTTACTCCTGACCTCTCACAGACCTGATAAGCTTCACTAAGCAGCTACCTTAGTGTGTATCTTGAATTATTGTTGCAGAATCACTGAGTTGCTAAAGGTTGAAAGGGACCTCTGGAGACTGTCTAGTCCAACCCCCCTGCTCAAAGCAGGTTCAGCTAAAGCAGGTTTCCCAGTATTATGGCCAGTTGGGTTTTAGGTGTCTCCACGGATGGAGACACCACAATCTCTCTGGGCAGACTGTTCCAGTATTTGGCCACCGTTACAGTAAAAAGCATTTTTCCTTGTATGTAAGTGGAATTTCCTGTATTTCAATTTGTGCCCAGTGCCTCTTGTCCTATTGCTAGGCACCACTGAGAAGAGTCTGGCTCCATCTTCTTTAATCCCTGCCATCAAGTATTTATACACATTGAGAAGATCTCCCTGAGCGTTCTCTTCTCCAGGCTAAATAGAACGTGGGAATGTATGACCCTAAGACCACCTGGAGGCCTGAAAACTAATCTGAAGTCTAGAAAGCTCTGGACAGCTTGGAGGCAGAGCATCCAAGCTCAAGGCAGAGCATCTCATGGTCATATATTCAGCTTGCACTTTACAGGATCTTCTCATATATAAGAATGAACGCAAGTAGCCCGTCACAAGGGATTCTTTCATTTCATGGACTGTACTTTCTAGTTTTGTTTCTTCTTGTCCCATCTGTCCAATTCTTATCTTTTCAAGGCTCTTCAGCTTGTCAGGTATAAGCATTTAAGCTTCTCTTCACAGCTCTGAGCCAGACAGACTGATATGGATTCTCCTGCAGGACTAGAAATCAGTATCATGGAGTTGAAACTGGGTGTTAATGTTCACTCCTTGAATTCATAGAGCTACATGTGCTACTTTTCCAGAATATTGAAATTCCTGTTTGCACAGCCTCACTGTAAAAGGCCCCTGGCTTTTTAGGAGATGTAAGTAACAGAATAAAACGAGCTTAGTTAAGCACAAGTGAGAAGCCAAAACTTCCAATGTGCTCCACTGGCCTGCATTTTTGATCCTTCACCTGTAGATGCAACTGCTGGGCATGTCTCTGCACATAAGAGCACTGTGAAATCACGTTTACAAAAAGCAATGTTTGACATTTGTGTGCTCTTGAAAATTTTTTTACATGCACCCCCAAAGATAGCAATGGTATAGAACATGGAATAAGATATTCAATTATGATATCTAAACCTATCTATTACTTTAAGTGGTCAACATGTTATCTGATTGTCTATTTATTAACTAGACAGACAAAATTTCAACCAGAAAAAATTTCAGTGTAAATGTTCCTAAACTCAATGCATGCAAATGCTGCTTTACTTGTGGGGATAGTTAAGTGTTAGCAGGTTAGTGGTAGCGCTGTGAACGTTGATTTGTATTTATTTCTACTGTTGCTTAGCTTGATAAAGCACTTATCTAATGGACCTCATGTTTAGCACGACAGCAGTGCTAATAACATCTTCAGATGCGTGATGGGCTTACTGCAATCCTTAGTTGAATGCCACTAAAGCACAAGGCCTTTAAATCTCCATTGTCCCGACTCTTATCACAAATGGAGAACTGTCCCTTAGTTTCCAGGTAGAAGATGACCCAGAATTCACTCTAAAAAATATTAGCCATTAACAACCTCCCAGTCTTTTGTTCAATGATTGGATCACTTCATTCCCTTAAGCCTCGGGCTGGCAGCCCTGTGCAGTGCAGACTTCTAGGGTGAGGTTCAGTTCCAGCTAAATGCAAGTACCTGAACGTAAGCCAGAAGCTAAGGCCTCGGATTAGTCAATGCCTATGTGGAGACACTTCAATTTAAGTGATCTGGAGCATCCTAAGTTCCTAACAGCACTACAGAAAGGGTGCTACCTTAGTCTGCTTCTGAGCTTTTTGTTTCCATCAGCAGTGTGCCAGGTGCTTTGCCCCCATCTCTTAGTGGAGATACTTGGCTGCAGGAAGCAAGGACTGAATTTGCTACTGGCACCTCAGACAAGTGGTGCTCCAGGATATGTGTCCTCTTATACTGCTAATACCTGGAGCTTGCCAAATGAAAGCCATAGTTTGGTTTTCTTCAGCCTTATTTTTTCACTGTAATGGCCGGGGGAAACTTTCAGGAACACTTGAGGCGAAAGTATTTCTGCCCCAGAACACACAAACTCTGGATGTTTGTCGAAGAGAGCAATTCCTGCAGTTTTAGCAATATATCGTCTCCAAGAGAGAATTCAGAGCTTGAAGGGCAATAAATAAACCTGCACTCACACCAGTGTACAGCCCACGCAGGATTCTGCAAGACATAAAAGCTTTGTTTTTGGGGACGGAATGGCAGGTGTTTATAAGATTTTTCAAATCAGATCTTATTCCCAAATAAAGTAACATTTAAACACTTTCACTGGATGCAATGAGGCAGATGAAAGCTTTGAGAAGCTTCCCGGGAACACTGCAAACCTCCCCATTTACTGAACTGACCAAATGAAAAATGATTTTCTAGTTGCTCAAGTTGCTCCTGGATGGAGAAACTGTAAATGCCCAATTACCAAGGTATGAATATGCAATTTTAAATAAAGTGCAGCAAATAATGTATTTTGTGGCATTTTTATGGCTGGGCTTTAAGTTGATCTATTAAGGGATGGTAAATTAGGCCACTGTGCCATCAGAGGTGTCAGTGGGACTGTAACTCCTCTTCAGAGGAGGACATATCGTCCTGTTGGTAGGCTTAAAGTGTGATGTAAATTTTTCATGTTAACCTGTGTCAGCATCCCCCAGCCTTTGAAAAAAATGTCTTCTTCAGAGCAGTGAAGCCAGTCATATCCTATTTGTGCTGCTGCCTTTTGTTGTTAAGGATCTTCACATCTAAACATGTACATTTTCATAGCTAATCTGTTGCTGATATTCATTTCAATCTTTCAGTCTTTTCAGGACTGCACACTTTCACTCTTGTTGTATTTTGTGCTGAAAATATTCATCCAACATCACTAGGAAATCTATGCTCAGATTGCACTGGAATGTTCATTTGAAGTTAAGCTGAGCCATGATGCTCAGGTAACAACGTGATAAGATGCTTTGGGGTTTAAACCTGAGGCTTTGTGCTCCTTGAGGCATCTCCAGTTAGTCTCCAGATTCCTGGGGCACCCAGACTGGAGCGCTCCCAGTAGAGAGTAGCAAGCACTGCAGTCTGAAGGGTGAAGCACTGTGCTCAGCAAGGACATGCAGTGCCACTGGCTGGGAGAAATGGTGTAGGCATCTCCTGAGACCTGTAGGAGTGTCCAGGCTGCACAATTTCTCTGAAGTACCTTCACATCAAAGGAAAGCCCTGGTCTGCAGCAGGATCAGCTAAAATCTTGAAAAGGCCTAGTATGAATGCTGCTTATATTGATGCTGTTTGTGCTAGTTCTACAGGATGGTCACTGTCTTTGCATATTATGCATATTTTTTTCTGTTCTCCTCCCCACTGCTAACATCAGTGCAGAAGCAGAGACTGATTGCCTTAGGTGAGTAATATATATATATATATATTTCCTTCACACTATGTAGAAGCTTCTGTATGGGACTAAAGCTCTTTCAGTAGGACAGAGGCTCAGTTGAGATTCACCAGCTCAGCTACAGCTCAGTTGACATCAATATAATTCAAGCAGGTTTTTGCAGACAAACAAGTTTGGAGTGGTGACTCTAAGGATGATGATAATAAGATTTGGTATTTTTCTTCCAAGCTGAAATTGTATTAAACCTTCCCTGAGAAAAACAGACCTCAAGGTTTTTGTTCACAAGTGCAGAAGAGACTGATTTTTCAGCTCATTCCGGTTCTTAGCTGGTGTGAGCTGTCATGTGTAAAGATATGAATATCTTCTCTGACTAATTCAAGCCTGACATTTCTTTTCTTACTGCAAAAACATAATTCTTCATTCCACCTTAAAAATTGCATCTCTTGCATAAAGGCAAATTGCTGCCATAGTCCCTTGGCACTCAAGAAAGGCATAGGGAGTCTTTTATGCCATGGGCCTTCTTTCATAGTGGCAACACAACATATGTCTTTATTCTGTTTCTATTGATCGTCTGAATCCCTGAGTACCTGGTGCTGAGCTGGCCTCTGAGCAAATTTTTCCTCACTTCGTGTCCTGTGAGTATTTCTATATTTAATCATTGAACTTTGTTTGAGTTATCTGAGTGGGTTCCAAACGAAACTTGATTGACACCGAGAAGGGCATTCAAGATGTGAGAGATACCATCCATCAAAAAAAGTCTGGTTCCTAAAGACGTGGCACAGGTGACAGACATGGAATAAAGCTTCTAACGCCCCAGTGCCTACTTGAAAGGAAATTATATGGATATGGAATTGTAACTTCCAATTGCAAAAACTAAAAATTCAGCAGTACATTGGCTCCTAGGTATAGATTATGTCTGTATTCTTATCATGTACTTGCTGTGATATACTTTACTGTGTTCTTTACATGAATGTTTTTATTTGAAATATTTATTGGTCATATTTTAAATACTATCTTCTCTCACCGAGAAACTAACAGAATAAAAAGTATACCTTCTAGCTATCAGGTGTTCCAAAATAATATATCTAGTCTGTTGTAGGCTTTAGTATATCATCATTTATTATAAGCTTGCTGGTTACATCTTGAAGCTGAACATTTGCGAATGGACTACATTCTTACGAAAGATGCTGGGTCAGTCACTGTGGCAAATGAAGTCCTAGCTAGTGTGTTCCTCAGCTGTCTGCCTAAGGGTATTAAAAAAAAATAGCTGAGTTCAGTCTGCCGGGCTAGATAATCTTTAACCTCTGTGCTGAGGTCCCTAAGGATCCAGCTGGCAGCACTGCTCCATCTAGCATACAGCGCTATTAAGGTAAGCAGAAAACTACCCAGTCCTACCTATTTTGTGTAATATTCTACAGGTACCCACCTCTGTTTGTACCAGTGCTGAAGACTGTAGCTAGCTGTGAGAACAATTCTTGGTTGAATCAGTGAATTAAGCTATTAAAAAAGAAGCATGATGCTATTTCACCCTGCAGTATGCATATGCCGTTGAGTAATGCTGTCCCTTTGACTCAATTCTGAATTCTCCACTGTGATTTTTCAATCTTTACATCTCCTCCTAAGTGACAAGCTAGGACTGCATTTAAAAAGTACATATCCAAAGCATACATGTGGAGTACGAGGATTAGCTATCCAACTCATTCATCTTTCACCAGCCTAGGAATAAAACCTCTGAAAGAAGAAAAAAAAAAATCAATAGACTATACTGGTACAACAGCTAAATGTTGCACTTGCAGTGTGTTTCCTTTCTGAGGGCTCTGCCCTGTGTTTTGTTTGATGGGTCAGTGTCAATGGCCCTTAGCTTTAAGTTGTTATACTGCAGTAAATCTACCCTTTTCTCCTTACAAACACGAGTTATGAGCAGATACAGGCAAAAGAAGTGTTTGCTTCGCATTTCAGGCATTCTGGACTTGATTCCTTCTCTCCCATGGTCTCCATCTATCACTTCAATTTTGCACATGGGAATTTTCACTGCAGTCAATGTTATTCCAGCAGAGAAAAGCTGGACTAATGAAGCGAAAAGTCAAGAGAAAAATACAATTTTGAGTCTTTAGTTGCTGTTCTACATCCCAGGGGAACAGGAGGGAGGAGAAAGAAGAGCCAAGCTTGTACCCCAACACGGTTCAGGAGCAGCTTGCATAACCAAGAAAGAATGGCCAGAAAATGCACTGCCCTATGCTACCGTCCACTCTAGTATCTAGTGCCAGCTACACTGGATCGGCAGTGCCATTTGCGTTAACCCTTAGCACTACGCTATACAAAACTAGATCTGAGGTGGAATCCTTGTAGACAAAAGTCCAGGAAAGCTGCTCTTAATAAACCAAGGGAATCCTTCCAGCCCCATGTGTAAATGAATTTTCTACCGTCTCCTATGCTGCTTCCTGGGATTTCATAAGAAGAGATGCAGATAAGCACTTGAAGAGAATTTAAATTCAGGTGCATACTTAAGAAAATTATTATTTATAAAAATGAATGGGCTGGTTTTTTCTGTGCTGCCACTTCAAATGACCCAGAATTATTATTTACATTACATTATTGCAGATATCACTATAATCTTAACTGGGGATTGTGTCTCCATCCTTTTCTTCATCTTCCATAATCACTGTTTGCTTTTCTTCTGTAAGCAGCTTAGTGCCTTAAAAACAGAAGGAAAAAAAAAAAAAGCGAGAGAGAGAAGGAAAGAAAAAAAATGAGTTAGTTTAAGATATTATTTCTTTAGAAAAAATCAGGTTAAGGAAAATTTTTCTGTCCTCTCTAATAGTTTAACCTTAATATAGTGTTTCAGACATCATGGGAGTTCCTCTTCATTTATTTTGGCAAATCAGTCTCCTGATATTTAGTGAACTAGAACTGGATCACTACACTGTTAGCTAAAATTATCAGTCAGCCTTAAATCTAGCACACTTCAGCTACCTGTGAAAGCAGAGACCCTGAAGTGTCTTCTGAGAACCTATTTGTTAAAAAGGCTTGGGAAGTTAAAAAAAGGGAAGTGCTTGCATGATGAAATAAACACTGTGATTAACCTATGTGACTGAGTCAGTTTGTGTGAACAAGCGTCTGAACGGTTCTTTCCTGTAGGTACATAGCAATGTTACTTAGATTTTGCTAACGCAGATGCTAAAGGAGACAAATATTAGAATACTACATGCCAAGTATCATTCCCACTGATGTTATGTAGTATCAATAAATTGCAAAAGGAACAGAACTGAGATCAATGTTATAACAGATTCACACGCTAAAGCCTTTGAGCCAGTATATGAATTATTGAGGTCTGGGATCTGAACAAGGTTCAAAGTGTATCCGTCCTGTGAAGGGAGAAGAAAAATAATTTGTAAGGCTTCATCCCTATCCTGAAAGCACTGGAGAGTGATATGACATAATATTGAAAGGAAGTTTGATTTCACAGTTAAAGCATGGGATGGAGATTCAAGAGAGCTGGCTCGTCAGCTGCAGATGTGCTATGCGGCCTCTCTTGCCATGTATAAGTATTTCCTTCTTCCAGAGTCTTCCTCTATTCTTTAGTTAGGTTATGGACCATATTGTCCACAAGTATATCTATCTGTATATCTATATCTATATCTAATCTATCATCATACTTAAAATGGTAAGTCCACCTCTAATGGTGGACTTTGAGGCTTTTCTGTGATATCACAATATACCAACTATTCTAACTAATCACTTTATTAAAAAATTAACTAATAAAGCTAAGTGAGGCTGATATTTTAGATAGGAAAATTTCTCCTTGATCCCTATTTTAACTGATTGTGCTGTTTTTGCCTGTTTGCAGTATAAAGCAATTGACCTCTAAGATATATTTTATGTCCACCTTCCTTGCTGTGGAGATTAATATAGTCTAAAAACAGGATGAGGGTAACCGTTGAGTTGAGACCAATGAAATCTCTCTGTAATTCAGTCTCCTACTGTTTGCTCTTAGTCTGTGCTAACCAGCTGAGTTGTTCTGTCAAACCAACCTATTTTGCTTCCTTCTGCATTGAAAACTCTTGCACAGTGAAGGCTTTCAGCCTTCCTGAAGTCTGAAAATAGAGCAATACCACACAGGAAGATTTTCTTCAGCTTTGGAATCTTTTCAAGAGGTGATGAACTAATGAAAATGTTAACCTATATTGCCCTTCATTTAGACTCCTGCTTCATTTATATCCAATTCTCATGACCTAGCTGGCTTCAGAAGTGAACTGAAAGGGATGAATGAATATTATTTTGAAATACAAAGGCCTGCATTGGTTTGAGCAGCGACCGCTACTGAGTGAGTGAGTAACCACTATTGTTAACTGCTGAGAATGATGCCGTTTTTTTAGAGATGGAAGTAAGTGGTAGCTCTGAAGGAGCTCTTTTAATTGGTTTTCTAGAGCACGGAGGAGGATGAGGGTTTGAAATCGTGGTTTTACTAGTTATCTCTGATCTGATTAGGAAACCCTAAGCAGCCACATTTCGGGAAGTGTGTTCCCATATTTACACAAGTATTTACATTCTTGCTCAAACCCACAGGCCTAAAGAACTCTTAGAAATATTTCGGTTAATTGAATACATTGCTAAGTGGGGATGGCAACAAAGAGTGTTCCAGGTCGGAGTGCAGGCTTTGGATCTGATTTAAATCATGTAGTGTCATGCAAGGGGGAAAAGACGTTAGAATTGTGATTACAATTTGTCTTTTTTAAATCCCTTAAAAAAGCCACGTTGTTGGCTGACTGAAAGAGACCTGGTCACTAGAAGAGAGCTCTGCCCCTCAACTCGTTTGTGTACATGTGGCACAATGGTATCTGGGTCACTTTAGTAGGAGTTTGATGCCTGAATACGTTTAGGAGTACAATCCGTGTAGCGGAGGGTTTTATAACACCTGTACTTTGCTATTTAACTGGGCTAAGGAACTAATTTCCCTGGTCTCCTTCTGTAGACTACAGAGAGACATGGGATCCTTCAGACTGTAATGTACAGATCCTAATTTAGCAACCACCTTTCTGTACCTCGATTTCCCATTTGTACCTGTTCTCTACTGGAGCAGGAGTTTTCTAAGGATTAACCTGTATTAGGTGTTTGCAAGGTGTAAAACCGTTTCTACTTCTCACTCGGGTCACATTCGGCCCAGTAGATACAAGTGGTTTTGGTCACTTTATATGGCCTGTTTGACTTGTTTTTATTCCTCTAGATAGAGCGAGCCTCTGGCTAACCAAGAAGGAAAGGGGCAGTCCCAGAGTGCTCATAACCAGTTGGTCAAAATGGGGAGAGATAATGCAGCTGCTGTTTTTATCTACATTTACAACAAAATGACTTGTGTGGACAGCTGCTTAAAAAGATAATCTAGTAATTAAGCTCTGTTATTGCAAGCAACTAAGTAGGGGTTTTTTTTGTATTGTTTATAATACATCTGGAACAGCAGCATTTGGAAAGTGAAATGGCAAAAAACATGGCAATCCTCAGCAAGAGCTCGCAAAGGATACATGTGGCCCTGATGTGCTGCCTACTACAGCAACACCACTAACTGGGAGACAGGGACAGAAAAGCCTTTTCATATTTAATTAGCGCACGTAGCCCTGCTGGGGCTTCTCAGGTCTCCGAGTCTATAATTCAGATGCTATTTTGCACCGCAGTTCCACAAGAGCTCAGTCTGTTTATTCGCTGTCTGCTGCCTGATGGGATAACCCTGAAAGTAAACAAGTAGTAAATACCGAACTAGCCCTCAGCCACAATGAGTCACTTTCTCATGGCAAGTCGTGGACCCACTGCCACCAGCTTCTAACCAGCAGAACTCTATGTTGGTGTGTACCTTGAAAAGAAAATATGCATCCTTGAAGTAGGGAGGGCATCACATTCAGGCATTCAAACACCTAGGCTACTTTGCCCCTGAAACAAATCTGCCAGAGGGAATCAATCATTAGAAAATGGACCCAGAAAATAGGATGTGGAAAAGCTGTCTGCAGGGTGAGGCAGCATCTAGCAGGCCGCTTTGATGGAGTCCATGCTGACTGCTGGAAAGTCACTACACTAGTAGGTTGGAAAGAGTCATTTAAGGTATGATCGCAAACAGTTGAAAAATGCGTTGGCTTCTGTCATTTCCCCAGAATTAATGCACATGCTTTGAATTTTGTTACACGTTTGAAGGTCACTGCATTTTTTTTCCTTTCTTTTTTATGCTCTTCCCTTTTGTATTTTTGGACTACCAGTTCATTTGGGTTTTCTAATAACATGTTTCTGTTAGCACATAACTTATATTAGCTTCTTTTTCCTTCCAAAATTTTTCAGAGCTAAAGAGAAAGCCTTCAAGGCATGCAAGAAGTGAAGTTCCTTAGAATGATTCTTCTTTCTCCTTTAACTATATACTGAAGATAATTAAGGCTAGACAGATAAAGCAGTAAGTGAGTAGATGTTAATCCAACCAGAACTTCATAGAGCCATGTCAAGGAAATAATCCACCCTTGCAGCATCCTGTTAACTAACAATCACATTTAAACCGAAACAAGAGTCAAACATGTCTCGGCTACAGTCACACATTTCGTCTTTGATTTCTGTCATCAAACATGTTTCACTTCCAGACTCTCCCCCTCTGCATATACTCTGAGGACCAAAGGACACATACCATCTTCAAAAGTGCTACAAATGGCCAAAGGCAATTATTCTTAGAGTATTTTAGAACCAACCAAAATGATACCTCAACTCTCTTCCCAGATCCAACACGGAGTAGGCCTCAAGTATAATACAGAGGACTAATGTTTATTACAAATGATTTGGTAAACTTTGCCTCTCCTGCTGCTTCTGAATTGATCCCTAAAAGACTACGGTTTTTTTTTCTCCCTAATTTATTTATCATGTGAAATCTTTTGCTGGGTAATTTCCTCCTGCAATTATATGAGTAGTTCATTATCAGTGTTCTGTATTAAATATTCCAAACTGGAGAACTTGCAGTTGGGCTAAGAATTCATATAATAGATTTAATTTCTCCCAGCAAATGATCAGACCAGGATTCCAGTGACTCACTTATAGCAGCTGTAATTCTGCAAGCCACTGGGATGCCTGAGTATAAGGATTGTGTTCTGCTGGGCAGATCAGTTTGCAAGGCATTAGTATTTGCTATACTTACTGCCCTGCTCTGGCAACCCTCAGTATGCTCCTCCTTGCTCTTGGGAGCCCCATATTGATGAATATAAGGCTGCTTACATGAAAAAAAGTAACTTACACATGTTCGTGAAGGTGGAGAGACAGTTATGAAGGATTAGATTCATAAAGGTAAGGAGATGTCTACGAATACAGGTGGCTCTTGGGACTAATGGAGCCATTTACACACCTGACACCTCTTAGGTGTGCAGGAACTCCCATTCAAAGAGTAACCTAAAACTCAACTGCTTGATATACTCAACTGTTCCATAGTCACTCAGGACCAAAGGATTTGTCTCAGGAACCTCTTCATGTAGTGTGCCTCACTGCTTAGTAGTGCCTAAGACAAGCCAGCTCACAGCAGAACTGGTTCATACTAGAGGTTCGTAAGGGAACGATGTTTTCCAGTTATGTTTTTCTGACTGAATCTGTACATATGGACAAAGTTTAAACTTTTGCTTCTCTCATGCTTTGGGGCCACAGTAAGAAGGGACAGAAAAATTGTCAGATGTGTTCCTTCCCAGAAGCGGCTTCAATGAGGCACATGATACAAGTTTTGGATGTGGGGTTTGTTTGTTTGTTTTCTTTCTTTCCTTTGCTCATTTTTTGCTCCATCCCATGATCTGGAAAGAGTTGGTATATAGCAACCAAACTTGCAATATTTCCTGCATCCCTGGCTATTGGTAGCAATTAACACACAGGTCTTTGCACCTCCAAAGACCTTCACTGATCACTTGAGGCTCCTTTGTGTCATAGGGATGTGGGAAACTCAACAAACAAAGGATCATAGGGTCCAAACATGGGTGGCTGAATCCATATCGTCATTGAGCAAATTTGCTGCTGCACTCCACGTTTTTGCCAGAAGATATTATGAGCTGGCAATTAATCACAGTTTTGTTTCTTCAGTGCATGTAAGGGACTATGGTGTTAACAGGAAATTCATCAGGACAGGTTTACCCTAGTATATTTGATGCAGTGTGAGCTAAGGTAGTGCTGGTGACCTAAAAGTTCCTATGTGCTCAGGTTTGAAAAGCAGTGCAGTATCTGCTGTTGCACAAAAGTAGGATCACCTCTGCAGAAGCTACTCAATGGATATAATGTCTTCTCTTTCCCCCAACCCCATTCCTGCAGCTTGTGGAGAGGACATGGCTGAGGCTTTCCATGAGCTGCTACTGCTATTATATACTTTGAACTAACAGGTCCAGTTGAGCAAGAATTGCCAAGTGGAGTGGACAGACAACCTCCTTCCATCCTCCTTGTGATCATACTTCTGACACTAGCCACTGCGGGCTTCCTCTTTGGAGCATTCTTTAGCTAAGTTTCTTACCTGTTATAATGGGTGGGATGTGTATTGCAGGTGTATCTTTTCTCCTAGGCTTTTTCTGTTCCAGTTCGGTGATCTGAGAGCCTGGGCTCACTCTCTCCCTCTGTGGTTTCTCTGAGATACCATACCTTTTCAGCAGGTTATCAGAAAAGTCTGAAAGTATGCCTGCAGAGAAGAAAAAAAGAAAATACTTCTTCAGCCTTGTTTACACTGAAGAAATTTGCACCTGTATAACTTTACCCGTGACTATTCTGAATTAAGCAGCCTGAGTGCTTTGTGTGGTGTACCTACTCTTCAGGGTTTGCAGAAGTATGCCTTTCCTCTATGTAAATTACATTCTGTAGGCTATAGTCAAAGATACTGTTAAGCCAGCTGTTTTCTGGTGGACTAAACTGCAACCCACCAGAAATGATGGCAAAGATGAGTGCACTCTTGTATTCCAGAAGGATTAACATCTTATCAGAGTTGTTTAATCATATGAATGCTTAAGCCTCTACTTAGGAACAATGTGACCACACACAGATGACCTGTTTTAACTAGTGAGGCTATCTTCTTCATGAGAGGGATACCTCAGGCACAAAATGCAGCTCTCCAGCTCCTGGGCCACTCTTGCCTAAGAGAGAAATGTTTGTAGATGGATACATGTGAAAGCTGGACAGGGTCAAATGTGTAGAATGAGGAGTTGAATATCTGGATTACGTGTATTGGAAAAGACCAGCTGTTTGTTTTTCACTTGGTAAGTGTGAGCCATTGCAAGACACACGGGTGACTGTGCAAGTGGCTACCTGCTAACTCCTGTGTGTACGCACAACATGGGAAACAACACAAGGCACTTGGTACAAGAACACTGCTCCCTCCCCAGAGAGTACAGTGAGGACTGCTTGTTAGCAGAGAGAAGTGATAAACATTTATTCCCCAGCTCAGGTAGGGGACACTCGGAAGATCATCAGGTTTCATTGGCAGTCTCCTGCTCACCCTTCCCTTCCCCAGGTTGGTAGCGTTTGGCTCTCAGACTTCGGAGGTCTGTAGATGCACAGCAGCAGAGAGCATCCTACAAAGAGTCTCTGTAACTCTGGTGGTTTCTGGCTTCCTGAAACACCCATCCTTTGCCAAAGTCCCCATATGCACAGGGGCCCTGCATCTTCCCAGAGGAACAACCGGCAGCCAGCTTGCGTGCCCCTGTGCTCACCTTCCAGCCTTGTCTCCCACTGAGCGTGGGACACAAGTTGCACAAGAACATACAAGAACTGGATCCTTTTTGATTTTAGATTGAATCTGGATGCCTGCTATGGCTTAGCTGGTAGAGATAAATACACATCATTTACCACATGAAGACAATGACAATGATGTGAGCTGTAAGGGAGGATTATTTTTTCAGAAGCATGCGCACACCAACCTCGCTATTTGGAGACTGTGTGAGAACTTTGTTAGTCTAAAAATGAAATCTTTTGAAAAAGTCAGCCTCTCTGTAAGCCTGCCTTCCCAGATGTATGTAGGATAGATGTGTGTTCTTATTCACTTCCAAAGGGATATAAATAAATGAGGGATCTCTGGATCTTTGTCCAGATTCAATCCACTGAACTGAATTTGAATTTTGAGGTCAAAAGAAGGATTGCTTACCTGATAGGGGCGGTGGGGTGTGTAATGCGGGTGTATCTTTTCTCCTTGGCTTTTTTTGCTCCTGTTCAGTGTTTTGGGAGGCCTGGATAGTTTTACCTTTTCTTGGTTTCTTTTTGAGGTCACAGCTCTTAATCAGCTGCTCTGAAAGATCTTCTGCATAGAATAAAAGATGAACAGAAATTCAAACGGAAGGGAAATAATAAAACAGACGGTGAAAAGAAAAGCTTTAATAATAGTACTTACATCCAAGTAGATTAAAATGCCCATGGAGAAACAACTCCTAAATAGAAAGTCAGTATAAGAGGTCTCTGTGCCATAACAAATGGCATCCAAGTGACTTAGGTGGTCCTTCTGCTTTGTAGGTGGTAGATGTAAAAAAGAAGAGGGACAAAATTGTGGGTGGCTATGTGTTACATGGCGGAGGGAAGGCTGCACCATCATGCAGAGATGCCATGGCCATGACTGTTTCGTTTAGCTCCAGCTGTGTGGATCTGTGTCTTAAAGAGTTACAAGGGCACTTTTGTGAAGGGAAGATTTATGCATATGGGGCCAGCCTGAGGCATTGGTAAACCAAGCCAGCATATTGTTCACTTCAAGAGTTGGCCTTATTTCCAGAGCTGCTGAGCAGTCAGTATTCACTTTTGATTTACATAACGCTGCACTGGATTTTTGGTTTTTACTTTAACACAAGACTTGGCTCAGATGGCTTAGATGGTCGGCATAGTTTTCCTGCAGGCATCTGCATTTCTGGGTGCTTACGTAAGCTGAAAATGTTAAGTCTAGACTGTCATTAGTATCATCACACAAACCAAAGCTTTGATTTCTTAAATGTCACTTGTATGGCTTCATCATTCTCCACCCTCCCCTCCAGCTTCAGACTTTTTGCCCAAAGGGACCTGGTCCCGGACTCACGCATGCCATGTGACACAGCCGTAAATCCGTGGACTAGAAGCAGGAAGGATAACTTCTGGGTTAAGTCCCTGGAAGATGGGGATTTTTTTTTTTTTAGCCTTCACAGACTTCCTCTATGATCTTAATGAAGTCATTTAATCTCTCAGTGCCTCAGTTTCCTGCCTGTACAATGGGACTAATTCTACCCAAATTGCTGTTTGCTTTAAATAGGCAATTTTATAGACAATTCTTTTTATTGGGTGCACTGACAGCAGTTACAGAAGTGGTACCTTTGGCTAGGAATGCCATGGGGCAGAAGTAGGACTAAGATACCTTCCCTGTAAGCTGGATAAATGACATTTGTAAAATCCTGCTTGCCTGAGGCGAGATACTTTTTTTGAAATTGCATTTGTGCTTCATTATTGCCATCACAAGGGTAACAACGAGCAAGTCGTTTTTTGTTTCTGGATTGGTAAATCTTTCTAACAATTTTGCAAAGCTGGAATGAAGCAAAATCATTTGAAGTAGAGGCAAGGACCATGAATATGCAAGAAGCACCTCGATCAAGTCATGAAGTCTAGTATTTGGGAGTGTGGCAGAGCAAAGATGCCTCCGGTACTCTCAGCGCAAAACTTACGTACAAAGTAGGATCAGGGAAGGAAATAGATTGACAGTAAAGGGGGAAAACTGTTTACAATGCCGTCCCAGTGTGGGCAACGGGGCTATTTGAAATCTTTTATTGAAATTGAATATGGAATATGTGTTCCATATTCACAGGGAAGGCTCAGTTTATTGTGGTATAAGTGATGAAACTGCTCTACTTTTTCTACCAGGGAAAAGAACAATGACTCTTTTTCTTTTCTCCTTTTTAATTAACTTCCCTCCTGAGCTTCAGCTAATATTTATATGCAGGAGGAACATTCTCTGCCTTTCCATCTGGCATCAGAAGTGTCACCAGAAGGTGTAATCTATCGGGTTTCATGAGGCCGCCGTGGTACTGCTGGAGGGGAAAAAACAGCCACTGGATGGGACCTACTGATGTAAAGATAACACCTCTCTAATTACTGCAATGACATCATCTAATAACACTTACCTAAATGGTTACAGTGTGAATCTCGCTTGTCCAGTCTGTCTTCTGGCATATCAAGTGGCTGAACATATTCTGTTGACATCATTGAAATGTTTTTTTTTTCCCCCTTGGAAGCTACAGCAGCCAAAAAAAAAAAAAAAGCACTATGACATAAAACTGACATGTTGGTATTATATATCCACTTGCTAGCCAGTTCATGAGAAGTCCCTGTCTTTCTTCCAGCTGCTCTTTGTCATGCAGTCTGCTGGCCTGATTTTGCTCAAGCATTTTAAGAGATGCATTTGTTCACTGCCTTGGCTACACACATATAATATCCCATTTTCCACCTACATTGCTGTAAGCAACCCACATACATAAGCACAGGAAATACATTAGCTCTATAGAAGACTACTGACTTTGGCCATACAGATAGTGCTCACATTCACAAAGTGCTAGAAAACAGGCTATTTTGTTCTGGTTTTCTTCTCCATTTTTTCTCTACTTTAAACTAAGGGTTGTATTTGGCATTTATCACACAATCTAACTTTGATGACAAATGCTGCTTAGTTAGTCTTGTAGCTCCAGCCTCTCTAAAAGAGCCCAGATACCTTTGAAGATCCAGATGTGAGTGCTGACTCTCAAAGGTGGCAGGTGACCGCAGACACCAGAGCCAATCATCTGATGCACGCATCACCTTGGTAGAAGCAAGCACGTGGGACCAGTTTCTCAAAGCTGTTTATGCACCCATATTCTGTAGGTCTCAGTGGATTGCACTTTGGCCTTCAGGCTTTTTTATCCTTGGTTACTTATAACCAGGGAGGGGCCTGGTCGCCAGCCTCTGACCTCAGCTTCCTCAGAACCTGGCAGGCTGAGATTTGATACAGAATTTACCTGCTTCAGGCTCACCCTGGATTAGAGGAGCCTAAGGAGATTAGACCATTTTTTACTGTCAATGATTTCTACAGCTGCTTAGCAGAAACCCATCAGAATAATGGTGCAATGTTAAAGGTGGGGGGGGAAAAAAAACTTAGATCCTAAGGTGAATCCTGATTGATCTGGGTATCTCCCTTCAGGCAGCAACAGCTGTGGTATGGTTTCTCAGTAGCCATCTCTTTTCTCCATTTTGGGAATAAGAGCAGGCTGTGATTTCCTTGAAGGGAGGAGGAAAGCATTACAAAGAGGAAAAAGCAGGAGATAAAGTTAATCGGAGAAGGACAGAAGTAGGAGAAGAAGGACAGAAATGGGAGAAAACAGGTAGAAGGAAAGGGAAGTACAGAAGGAAAGATTAATAAAAGAGAAAGGTGGAGGAAAAGGGAATCAGAAAAATAGGGAAAAGGAAGATGGGAAAATCAAAGGTAAAGAAAGAATAGAAGAGTGACTGTACTGTAGAAGTTCATTTTATCTTTCTGGAGGTAAAGGAATTACCTATATTATTTCTCCCTAAATCAGAGTGGTTGTTGGTCAATAAAAAGAGAACCGTAGGGCAGTTAACCTTGTTTTTAATGACTAAACTTGAATCCATACTAAGAACAATTAAGCCTGAGGCAAAATGCAGTCACATAAATATCTGGCAAACAAAATATGAAAGGTCAAAGTCCTACACATGCATTCAGCTAATTCTTCAGGAGATGGAAAAAATTCTCCTAAACTCTAGTGACTTCAAAGTAAATGGAGCAACACTGGTTTACAGCAATAAAGGTCGGGAACATTGACTCATAGTTTACTTACTTATAGGATTAACTCCAATGCCCTTCAGTAATCAAAATTCACAAAAATTTTTAAAATTATATAAATGCTGAATCAGGCCTGGATGAGAGGTGGAAGCTCTGCCTGCTCACTGCAGTACTGGCCCAGTCCAGCCTCACGTCTGTGTTGAATGGTTATGTTGCCTGGAAACTTCAGTAGCCTTTACAGGGGGAGGAGAAAAAAAAAAGTATCTTCCACTTAGGAAGACCCTTCATAAAGAACTCTTTGAATGCATCTAAGTGTGGTATGATTGCTCTGTTTATCATCTGTATAAACAAGCTAGAGCTATGTTTTAAAATATAGCGATCAAAATTTTATTGAAAGGATAAACCTATCTTGCCATATAAAGGCCCACTCTACATTTTATGATTTCAGGGAGAAACTATTTTATCTTCAGTGCGATTTGATTTTAGAGGATTTGATGAATGCACTCCAGCTGTTAGCTGAATATTATGATTGTGGGAAGAATGTTCTTTTCTAAAGATTACCTTGTTTAGAATGTTTTCAGTAAAACCAGTGACTCCATTGCAGACTATGGACTCTTTTGAACAGGTTTCAAGCCAAAAAAGCTGGTGATATTAAAATTTAATTGTAACATTGGTAGTAACCTATACTGGCTGGAAATGCCTTTCGAATCTGATGATTTCACTAAGTTGTTTCATTGAGTTACTTCCTGCAGTAAAAACCAAGCTTTATAAAGAGGCGTTGTCTAGGATTGCTATATGTAAAGTATAAAAAGCTTACTTAATTATTTTTTCTTAACACAGTAGTTTGAAAAATAGTATTCTAAAATAAGTCTCTCAGATTTGGCTTTACATTTCCATCTAGGAAATATAGGCTAGGGTGCCTAGCCCTTGGCATCTTCAGTACTTTGAAACAGGGCTTTATAGCCTAACTTCAGACTCTGTTTTTTGAAAAGTTTGCCCTGCCATACATTGCCTGCTTACAAATGTATTTCTGCACTGCACATTTCAACTATCTATGTGACAGATAAAGAATAAAGAAAAAAGAAAGATTGCCAGAATATATCACTAAACTTGATATAAAAGTTTTGATATCTTGATTCTATATACAATGCATATGATATGAGAAAGTGTTGGTGATACTATATCCTGTCACTGTGCATTATGCACAGATTTGTCATCAAATGCGAAGGTGATGTATGTGCGCACTGTAATGGTGCTTTCCCAAATCACTAAAATCAATTCCCGACGCTGAAGAAACAGATTCCCCAATAACGTTACATGTGGAATGGAAGAATGTTGTAGTAACTATATGAATGCTTTACTATGCCTTTACAAACGGAAGCACATTCTCAGATTTTAGTGTTAAGTGCAACTCCTTTCCTACTCATCTTCGTGGTAACCCAGCGTGCCCTATCTGCAGCAGTCAGTCACCTTGGTAGGTAACGCCTGCAATTTACATGATGGACCAGGATTTTTTTTTGCACGCTGTTACATCTCTTAACATAATGAGCCACATTCATCCTTTGGGCAACTTTAATGGTTACAGTGGAGCTCTAAATCACACACAGCAGGAGACACTTTCTGAAATGGATATAGATTTTTCCACGCGAATTAGGATGCAATAGTCATTAAGACTTTTGTACAATACAGCTCGGCTGTACAGTCCTCTGCCGCAGAGATGTGTGCTCAGCAGACTCACCTGGAGTCTCTTACTTCTGGGAAAAGACAGAGACAACGGAGATGTCTTAAATGCTTCCCTAAACCTGGCCGTGAAGGAGTACTAGTTTTGCCAGTCCAGTTCTTCATTTCCTCTTTGCAAACGCATTCGGCATTAAATAGCTCTACTTATATACAGAGAAGAGCAAGGAAGGATAAGGCAGGCTGAAAAGCGTAGGTTATTAAAAGCTCCTTCATCCTAATAAGGATTCACTTGCATGCAGAGTCATTGTTGTGTGATAGCAGGACTCCCCTGGGCCCACACGCTTGTAAGAGCTGGGGAGTCAGATGGAAAATATATGAACTTTTCACTTTTGAGCTATCACCTTAGCTATTGACGGATTTCTGGGCACCTTAGAGAAAGCACTCCAAGATGCTGCCAGTCATGTTTGAACAGAATTTTTATTTGCTGTATATGCTTGCTAAAAATGCTAATTTAGGTATCTGGCCACAGGAGTTGCACAGTTCCTTCAACACACTAACATAACCTTAAAACATACATATGTATACACAGAAACACACACACACACACGCACACACAAAATAGGGTTCCTTTCTCTGCTGAAGTTGTACAGTTTCATTGGAAAGTCCTCCAATGTGGCCGATTCTGGGGTTCCTAGAGATGGGAAGAGAAGCTAGTTTTGTTTTGCTGTTTTAATGTGCAGTTATTTTAACACAGGTGTTTGCCTTAAGTAATCAGGCTAGGACTTAGGGTGAGACTCAGCAAAGCTCTTCTCACAGATTTCTACCCCAAAGGATTGAGGACATCTGATCACGTGGCATTTAAACCAACATGAAATGACATCTCATGAGAAAAAATCTTGTAAGACAGCATTAAAGCTTTGAGAACAAAACTAAAGACTTCAACTCTTCTTGTTTGATCCTGACCTGGGCACAGAAATGGCTTTTAATAGAGCAAGGTTATATGTGAATTTTTTGCATGCCCCTAGGGTTTGAGTAGTTGTAGGAGCTAGTCCCCTGCATGGAAATTAGATTCCTATGTATACTTGTACGCAGAACCAAGGGAATATTTGGTTCTCAAATGAATCATCAATAGGTGATTATTCTTATCTATGGGATGGAGAAATGAATTTCTGATCTGCAATTCCTATTCAAGTTTGGAGGGGCTAACTGGGCATACATACAGTTCTCTACCATTATACATGAAGAGCATGATTTGTTGTATATGCATGTCATTTCCTTGTGCACTGGGTACTTAGAATTTGCAAACTGACCCCTTGCAAGGTCTCCACAAATTGTGCCTTATAGGACTTCAGCAGACCAGGTAGTGCTGTCCATAAGTACCTTGATATTTCATTTGGTCTAGGGACTGCTTTGTTCCTACAATCAACAAAATCCCCAAGAAAAAGCACGCCCTAGTTTGCAGCACGTGCATAGTCATTAAAGAGATCTTGAAATGTTGTCATGAGCACTACTTAAGTAAAAGTAGTCTGAGAAAATCCTTTTGCTGGGTGGCAACATGCAATCTGAATCTGCATTTAATATGATTATTTATTTTGGTAGGCTGATGATACTGCTATCACAGAAACCAGTATGACAACAGGTACTTGCCTTCTCCTGGACCCAGAGCACTTAATAAGAACTTACCTTTGCAATAAAAGGCACAGTATTGTTCTTGTGTCAGTCAGACTGCTACTGGGAAAGGCTACCTATCCTTTGAAAAAAGGTGGGGGAGATCGTGTCCCACTCTTGCCCCATTTGTGTTTTTTGCAAAGGGGATGAAAAGGCATAACAGAGGCCATGGGCAGCCTGGGGCGAATTATCCATTCGGTATACTCTTGCTTGAGCAAGGGAGGGAATGACAGGCCTGCCCTTGCCCCCATCGCATGTCCTCAGTAGGCTCCGGAGTCAGCACTTTGTTTGCCCTAAGTCATTTACGTTATGTGTAAGATACTACCACCTGGGGGTAGTAATCTTGCACCCACCTCGCAGTCACAGAGCTCATGTGAAACAGCTCTGCCGGGAACAGGGGGACGGTGCGACTGCCGGCTGCGTTCGGCTCCTCTGCCTGCGCTCAGAGTCAGGCTGGGGTCTCGGGGGACTGGGAAGCGGGTTCCTTCACCAGCACCCTGATCCGGCTACAACTGCTTGCTGGGTGAGGCTTGGGAAAAAACAAGGCAACATGCTTTCTGCTCTCAGAGTAGAAAACAGATGCCCTGAAAAAAGAAAGTCTAGGTGTTGCATTGCATCCCAAACTTTGCAGTCGGAGTTTCACGGTATATTTAATGCTATTCTACCAAACTGACTTCTTTCCAGTTACAGCCTCATTATACACAGACTAAGCTTCTTCAAAGTTTTAGCTGGACGCTAGATTGTTCTCTTCAGGCATTCTTGTCAGATTAATCTGATTTCTATTTTCTGAAGCAGACTTAAACGTTTTTTAGGTAACAGGTTTTTTTTTAAAAAAAAAGTTCTTTAAAATCCTGGTTCTGGTGTCTTCTTCCACCCAAAACTTTTGCTACTAATAACTGGATGAATTCAGAGATCCCACAGAATTGTCTCAGAGCAGTTTCCTCTTACAAACTGTACTCTTTTAGGGGCTAGTTCAAAATCCAAGTAGGACTATGGACTGACTCCCACCATCTCCCAGCAACTTGTAAAGAAAAAACAACAGTAAAACTTCGATCAATGGAGGAAATACCAGATGCATTTGCACACGGCCTGATCACAAAGTTTTCCTCTTTGGAGGTAATTAGAAAGACAAAATCTTGCATAATTATTTCCCTGGGAAGCAAACCAGCCCTTGTGCACGCCACCCCTTTCTCGTGGGAGAAGTCCTGATAGCCGTTCCCCTTCTGCCGGCTTGTGCAACGTGCGTGTGAACTATCCCAGCAACTAAAGCTAGCAGAAACCGTTGTCTCTAAGGCGGTCTCCTCCCCCCGGCCCCATCCCATGCATGGCAGCCCCAGCTCCGTCGCCCCCCCCCAACTTTCCCCACGCGCCGACAGCTCCCGCCTGCCCCCCGAGGAGGCGTGGCTGGAGTACTTACGAGGCGGCGAGTGGCGCGGGGAGGGCGCGAGAACTTTCTGGCGCCGCTGGGTGCTCCTGCCCGCCTTATCTAGGGAGCCGCCGCCGCCCGTTGCTATGGCAATGCTTTATTCAGGCGTCCTCCGGGAGGGTGGGAAATAGCATCACCTTTTTCCCCTCCGCCGCCCGCCGAGTGGATTTTTAAGGCTGCGCTGCCGTTTCCTTCCTCTTCGGCGAGCCACCGAGGCCGATGGAAAATAGGAAACGGGACAGGGGAAAAATCAGCACCGCCTCAAGGCAAAAGCGTCTTCCCCGCCAGAAGAGGCGAAGCCGCCGGCAAACTCAGTTCAACGAGGTTGGGGCGGGGGGTGCAAAAGCCTCGACATGTAGCTCGGGGAGTCAAAAGGCGAGCTGCAGCCGCTGCCTCGAGCGAGCGGCGCTAGGAAGAGGGGAAGGGGAGGGAGGGCGGCTGATGCTGTGCGGGACCCAGGGGAGAGCTGAGGACAGAAGTGGTGAGAGGAGGCAGGGCACGTCTGGGAGCAGCCCCAGCAGCAATAAAAGTGATGGACGCTGTCTCCAGCAGCGATGACTGCGGTGTTTGTGTGTGTATCTGACCACAACTAGTTACACAGGCTTGGCGTTGATGAGGCCCGGCAGGGAGGCATCTGTGGCTGCCAGGTGTTTGCCAGTAGAGACCAGTCTCTCCTATTTTAGCCCATTGCTTTGGATGGAGCTGTTATTTCAGCCAAGGGAAAAGTATGCAAACATGCCTGACGTTGGAAAAGCTCTGGCCGAAACGCTGCTCACTGGTGGGATTATGAATCGCCCCTCTCTTGGTATTCATTTGCAACCAAACTGGCTTCTTCTGTGCCCTTTCATTAAACCATCCTCAAAAACTGTGACTGCTCCCAGATTTTTGTTGCAGTTGTCTGACTGCTCCCAGATTTTTGTTGCAGTTGTCTGGCACTTTTTTTCCCCCCCACCCAGTGATTGCAATTCAACAGCAACAGCATGGGCTGCATGCTTTAAATTAGTCAGGGTTTCTTTCATAAATAATATATTGTACAGATGGCCCAAAGGGGCAAAGTGCTAGTTCCCAATTCAGAGAGCTGTGCAGCATCCTCAGATGCTGTTCCTTTCGGGTCTAATTCCGTAAAGTACTCAACAACTTAAATGGTCAGAGGGCACCAGCTGAAAGCGCTGTCTGGGAGAGACAAGAATGGTCATTACCTTGCAGAGAATAACATTTATGTGTTCAGGTGTCTCAGAGATCCATTTTTAAAAGCAAGCTCATAAATGCTTAAATCACTCCTGAAAAATGGAATATAGGCTCCTATGTAAAGCAGGATAGGATTTTTTTTTGGCAAGATGGAGTTTTATAATTTTTCCCCCCCCCCCAAAAAAAACTGCTTATAAGAAAAGAATGATTTTGATGTGTTGCCTATTTCAGTATCACTTTGATTCTTCTTTCAGAATTGTCATGATCTCCCTGTTGCAGAGTGTTTTAAATAAAAACACTCTATTTGTACGTCAAAATGCTTTTTACTTAGAAACACAAGTTATTATGCATTTTTCTATGAAGTGAGGAAAATCAAAATAAGATCACTGAAACAAACAATCAAATCTGAAATATTTTTTGAAACTCAGCTCAAGATTTTCACATTTTGATTGCCCCGACTGAAAATAAGAAAATATTTTACAATACTAGAAAAATTCCCCAAGGATGAGAAAATTATTGCCTATTCTAGCCCCCTAAGTCACAGGGATGCTTTTCAAGAGTTACAGCTTTAATCGTAAGGAAGGAGGACTATCACATGTGGCAAGATCACATGTCTAACTGTTTTGTCTTATACATTTGGCAAAAATATCAGGTGTTGTAAGATGCCAAGAGTCATCTTACTCTAGCAGAAGATTTCTCCCAGCCTCTCCAGTGGGACTTTCACATGAAGAGTGTGACCAAGGATTTACTCCCAGCTCTTTTCCTCTAAATATTTCCACAGTTGTTGTCCTGCTTGTAAAAGGGCTGGGACTCCTTCCAGCTTTGCAGCCCTTCCTGCTCAATTATCTCACAAGGATGGCCTGGAAAAAGATTAATCTGAGCCTGTAGGAACTCTGCACTTTAACCCTCCTCTTCCCTTGTATGTGAATATTCCACTCAGCACTCAGGGAACTATAATGTAATTAAAGATAGGCACGTGTCTAAATGTTTCCAGGCTTGAGCTTTAGAAACAGGCAATGCAGCTTTGACAGATGGGAAAGGAAGAGACAACCTTATAGAAAACAGCTATATATGTAACATTAGCTATCTATGCATTTGCTATTTTTATATTTTTCTGGTGTGGGTTATATTTCAGGGGTGACATTTTCAAATGTCCAAAGGGTGGCAATAATTTGGCCTTCCTTTGATTCTTCTTACTGTTAAAACTTTTTCTTTCGATATAAAAATGTTTGCCTACTGAAGCTTTTCAGATGTTATAGCATAAAAAAGTGAGTGATTTCTTGAAAGACACACGGTGCGCCTTGATATTATACTTGTTTTTCCATCGTAGGCCTATAGTTGGTTTTTCAATGCAAACACAGCTGGCTTTTTAGCACTGCGGTAACTCATTAAGGTTTTTCCCAGCTGTAACTTTGCTTGCAGTCACCTCACTCTGAATCTATTCCAGCTGAAGACCAAAATCAGATCTCACTCATGGCAGTACCAGGCCGGTATGACTGAGTAGAAACACTGGATTTATAGCAGTGGAAGCTATAGGGACATAGAGACCTATTCCTTAGAGACTGCTGATGTCACGCTTGCTCTGGCATGTGTGAGGATACAATTAGGGCTAGTTCTTGTGTGACGTATAAAACATGAGTGGTGTGGTAGGTTGTGGTGGTTGGTTTTGGGGGAAGTACAGGTTGAGGAAGAGTATTATTAGGCCTTGATTCACACTACATGTTTTTTGTTTGCTTGTTTGGAAGCCTTACATTAAATAAAACCTTTGGGAAGGGAGAGGAATTACTTGAAGTAGATGCCCCAGCTTGGCCTGGCACTGAGGCCAGCAAAACCTCAGTCTCCATGAGGCCTTATAAAGTGCCAAGGTCTGTGTTTTCTCGTTTCCTGCCTTCCTCTCTGTACCTTCATTAAAATAGTTCTACTGGTGATGGATTGCTGTGCTAACCCTCTTTAAAATACACTACCTTTTTTACAAGCGCTACGGTCTGGAAAGAACACCTTCTACGCAAGGAAGGCTACATGCAAGGCATGGGTGAGGAGCAGAGCAGGCAATCCTGCCTGCAGAGGTGAGGGCCAGTCTGCTGGGAAGGAGGAGAGGCTGAGCTCTGTAGGAAGGAGATAGGACCATCAGCTGAGTCTTATATCACAGCACTTACAAGCAAATCCTCTCTAATGAGATGAGGGTGAGGGAGAGTATCACAGTACTTACAAGCAAATCCTTCTCTCTAATGAGATGAGGGTGAGGGAGAGTACCCCTGTCAGGAGGGCCACTGTTCTGTAGATGCTGTAGTGGTCACTTCCACATAGTCCAGAGCTGCTGTAGACGATTATGAAAGGCAGGAAAAAGTAATATACAATCCAAGTTATAAGGGGAGATGTTTCACTCTGGCTGTGTAGGGCTTCATATTTATCTGCTTATGTTACAGTTTGCTCGGATTCTAATTTGAATCGGTACTATTATTTATAGATGAAATAGGAGGTACCAATAAGGAAAGTTTCATTTTAACAGGCCTTAGGCATTTAAAAACCATTAGCGATCTAGGCTGAAGTGCCTTGCCTACGCAGTAACCCTTGGTTACATCCAAGCTAATACTCCCTCTGGAAAAGCAGCTCCAGGCCTTGCACCATCATGATGTGCTCAAGCACAGCTCCATCCTGTGCTGCTTATTTCTGTGTGAAAATATGCTGCACTGTGTAGAAAGTTTGGTCCAGTTTTATGCTAACTCCTGAGCATAACTTCTGCATGCAAGCACATGCCTGGAGTCACTTTGTACAATTTAGGAACCGTATCTTGTAAGGACACATTGATTTATTTAGCCAACGTATAAATATTGTCATAAGTATAAAACAGACTGTAGCTGATTCAATAAGTTACTTTGCAGCCAGTTTGATCAATAGATCAATGCACAGCGTTGTCTTTTATCAAATACATTGCATAATGTATAGCTAATATTTATCTTAGATGGTTTCCCTTTGAGTTCTGGAGGTTAAAAATGCAATAGATTGAAACCTGTGCTCCATATGCCTAACTTTTCAGACAAATGATTATAAACATCTACATTTTCCCTTGTATATAAAGGAACATGCGTGTAAGGCATGTCAGTTGCATTTATCACAAACCCAAACTTATAGCTAGCTCAAGATTTTTAAAATCAGCATTACATTAGGCAAATCATTGCCATGTCGTGGAAGACAGCATGTTTGTCCCAGGTCCAAGAGTGAAACCATCTGTGTTTATTGTACTGCTCAGTGAAACCTTTGAGGCCAAAGCAGTCTCTAAGGCCCAAAGGAGTCTGGGATTTGTATCTACTGTGACAGATGGCCCATGCAGACGCTCTCCCTGCTGCCCTGCAAAGATTAGGAGGACTACTCCTAAGGAGACCCAGAAGGCTGCGAGAGAATAACCCCGTACAGAGTGGGAAAGGGAGTTTCTACATCAGAAGTTCAAGCATCATACCAGGCTCCTTGTGCAATGCTAAGAAAAATGGGGAGTCACTTTAAGTTGTCATGAAAATATCTGTAAATTAGCCCATGCATCTGTGTTTAGATAGATAACTTAGCATTTTCTGCTGTGTCTAGTCTACAGCTGAGTGTTCTTGCTTACTCCAGGAAAGGGAAGGGTGGAGAAAGCTAGGAAAGAATAAGACATGGCTTTAGATGAGGGAGAGAGGTTCTCAAGTTTGGAGCTGCTAAAAACTGTGTTCCATGGTTTTCGTTGAACCTTGGATCAGG